ACTCTGGGGTGTGTGTGTGTGTGTGTGTGTGTGTGTGTGTGTGTGTATTAAAGCTGCCCTTTAGTCTCACCTGCCTCTCAATTCAGATGTACCCTGAATACTAAAACGTTTCTCAACACTTGAATTAACTGTCAAACTCCTCCTGTAACTTCACTGTCAGCTCATTTACCATGCACTCACCTAACTGGAACCCCTTCTCAAGAACTGTCGGCTCCTTCCACATCCCCAGGCCCAAATGTCATGGTTACCTGGCTTCTTGGCATACATTGTTAGGGATTGAGTCGCTAGAATCAGGCATAAAAAATAAAATAAATAAAATAAAATAAAATCAGGCATAAAAAATAACAGTCACTGAGGGCGGAGGGAGCGCTGGAAAAGTAGGCACTGAATAGCTGAGGTGAAAGCCATGGCTGATATTCAGGACAGGAGCAGGGCAGGTGAGTTCATCTTCCCAGTTCCCCAGCGTTACTGAGTCAGAGAATAGAGTCTTCCGTGTCCATAATCACAATTCGACCTCACAATGCGCTCAGTTATAGTCATTATGTTTGCTGTGAGAAGACGGGTGTGTCGTGCTTATCAGGATGATGTTCTTCAAAAATGGACAAGACTTGGGGCCGGGGATTTAGCTCAGTGGTTCCGCCACCTGCCTTGCAAGCGGAAGGATCCGAGTTCGATCCCCAGTACCCAAAAAAAAAAAAAAAAAAAATGGACAAGACTTGAAAGTTCATATTTAGTCGTGATGAAAATTAACTTCTATAAAATATCCCATTTCCCAATCTGTCAGATAAATGGAGATATTATGCACATGATCCTAGCATAAAAGGAAATCTCTGTTCCTCAATTATATGAGAAAAAGGAAATATTGATTTGGGTACTTCCTATTTCCATTGAAAGGCAGGTCAAATAGACAGCGTTTCAAGGGCCTTACAGTTCTTTTAACAGGTTCTGCAACACATTATTTGCACCTAAGATTTTTTGGGGGGAGAATTAAATGCCTCACAGTACTGGGCACAGAATAATTTTTATCATTCTTATTACCATGGTGATATCTATTTTTTCCTCTTTTCAATTTTTGACATATGAGTTGGTTTTTCACTGTGTAACTTTCATGCCATAGTTCTAATTCATTCGTGCTTTTCTGTGTTGGGTACTAAGTGGCATTAAATCAGACACTTTCTGCAAGCATCCAAACTCGGAGTTACAAGGGATATTCACACAGGAAGTAAAGGCGAGGATATTGTTTTGCGGAGGCTTAAGTGATACTTTGGAGTAAAATAGAGACTTTCTCCACTCATTGGAAGCTCAGAGAAATAGAGAGACAAAAAGTTCTCTCACAAAAGGAAAATGGGTCAAAGCAATAGCTGTATTAAAGGGATTAACATTTTTCCCCCAAAAAACCTTAAATTCTAAGATGATGCTATGACCAAGAGCAAGTTAGTATAAAAAATGCACTGGATCTTTAAGATGGGAGATTTTATATTAGGAGTTGGATTTTTTTTTTTTTGTAGCGCTTAAAGGGTAAGCATGTGCCTAACACTGAGCTATTCCCACAGCCTCAGAGTTGGACATTTTATGTGAATAGTTGGTTCCAAGATGTTGAGAGGGTGAGGAGAATGAAGAGGGAGAAGTGGCAAACACTGGGGTCGAGGTGACTGTCAGGGAGCTGTGGCTACTACTGTGGCCCAGGGCTGCTGGCCCCTCCAGAGCTGAAGTCCTAACAGTGTCCCCAGGGCAGAGGCAGAACTCAAGAGAGACGCTGCTGCCTGTGCTGGGGGCTGCAGTGCTTGGGCTCTGGAGCAACAGGAAGCATCGCCTGAGCTCTTGAAGCTGTGAGCTGGACACTGTCCCCTCCAGCTTCGATCCTGGCCTATCCTCCCACTGGCAAAACCCAACAGAAAGCCAGCAAGCAAAGGGGCTGGAGACAGTCACAGGGTGAGCGTGCAGAACAGGCTAAGAGTAGCTGTGAGGCTGTGGACGTCGGAGGAATGAGGACCTTAGCCGTTCAGCCTCAGGCCCATGCATCTCCGTTCTACCACCACCTGCAACCAACAACACTGTGCTTCCACCTAGCGTGACCCTGCTCTGCTGTGTAGTCGGAAGATGCTCTGGCTCACTGTGTCCACATCTGGGAGAGCTGATTTCACTCGTGGTTCACACACAGCCTTTCTGCAGCTTACTACCACAGCTCTCTGGGGACAGCCACTGACCTTTGGTCTGCAAATCAAGAGGCCAAAGGGGGAAGGGAATTGGTTGTCATATGCAAATCTCTGTTTAACAAGCAAGAAATAAAACGCAGTGACATCTACAGCTCTTGTTTATGTGACTGGTTGTGAGACCATTGCTGAGAGTGGTCACTTCTTTTTCTCTCAGCCAGTGGCTCATCCTTTGGAAGACTACCTAGTGAGGCCACTCCAGCGTTCAGTACTAAAGGGCATATGCCCTTCCTGGTTCTGTCTTCATTGGGTTACTGTAGACTTTAATGCTAATACTTTCACACCCAGCCATATAAAGAGATGTCCTTAAGGGTGAATGTCAGCATACAGGGAAAGCTTGTTTCTCCTTCCATTCTTTACCTACTGGAGGAGTTAAATGAGCTCATTTAACTAACCCAAATGGCCCAGTAATAGTCTCAAATTTCAATCCACAGGCACCTTTGTTGTGGCCCCTTCTGCCAACATTCCTCTCAGTGTGTACAAAAAGCAGACGTATTTTGCATAAGCTATCCAGTGAAACGGTGGGAGGAAACAGGCCAACTTCTTGCCTTTGCTTCCTATTCCTATCCTTTCTTCCTATAGAAAACCCAGAATCCAATACTGATTTCTAAGCCAGGTGTCATAGCACATGCCTAGACTCTCAGAACTCTGGGAGGCTGAGGCAGGAGGAATATGAGATTGAATCCAGCTGGGCAACTTAGTGACTTAACAACAGCCTGACTCAAAAAATAAAAAGTGCCAGGGATGTAGTTCAGTGCAAAGGCCCTGGGTTCAGTCTCCAGTATGGAAAGAAAAATCCCTAGTTCAGAGCCTATGCTCTGAACTGCTACATCCTGTAGCAACCCCAAATCACAGAGTTGTCAGTGAGCTTGTCCTAAGATAGAGTCTGCAAGCAGCTGCTCCAGTGTCCTGCCAGGCTGTGGGCTGCTGAGCATGAGTGTAAGAGGAGGCCTAGTTTCCATGGGTGTTAGCTCACTGCTTGCTCAGCTCCGAATGGATTTCTCAACCCAGAGAATGTGGTGAGGGATTTCTGGACAGACAGTGCCTACACTATTCTGTCGGCTCCCGGACGGTGTCACTCAGAGCAGGTCTACAGGTGAGCATTTCCCTGGAAGGAGAGAGAAATACTTGGGAATCAGGCTCCTGGTGCCATAGTTCCATAGTAATATGATCCCTGAATGTTGGATCTGGACTCCGGACATTTACAAGGCAAATCTTTGTGTCCATAGCACTGAAAGTCAGGCCTCTTGAAGCCAACTATCGGGACTCTCCCTTGATGACCTTGATGTGGCTAGACTTATTTTAAAATCTAATAAGCTCTTCTTCATCACTGTCTTTTTTAGCTATCTTTTCAGGTAACCTCTTTATCCAATAGTCATAAATCATCACTCTCCATTGGATGCTGATATTTTTACTATGCTGCATGTTAATTACTTTATTCTTTCAGTCAATATTTATTATGTGCCTGCTATGTTTCCAGCTTGATGCTAAGCTTTGGAAATACACATGTGAGAAGGCCTACGATTGCCTTGGGGACCCCACAGTCAATTGGGGAACTGAAGCAATTAAGCAAGGAATAAGAATACTCTGAATATGATAAATAAAGGCTGTGACTGCAATGTACTGTGTACTAGCAGAGACCCACCGACTTCTGTCCTAGAGAGACTATGTGACAAAGGAAAGGTTAAGGAAATTTCTCCAGATGTAGTCAGGGAGCCACTGTGGAACTGATTGCCCTTTGGAGCAGTTCTCATTTAGCATGGATTTGGTTTTGTTTACTGCATATCTAGTCAGTGTGTGGATTCTGTAGTTTTGGAGAATGTAGACCATTGGCTGTACTGACACTTAGCTTTCTTTTCATGAAAATATGACAGTTCAGGGCTGGGGATTTAGCTCAGTGCTTTTGTCGCCTGCTGCGCAAGCGCAATGACCCGAGTTCGATCCCCGGTACCAAAAAAAAAGAAAATATGACAGTTGAGTAAATAAAATGATGATTTTGAATAGCCATTTTCAACCTCTCATGTTTCTACTAGTTGATTTCACCGAAACACACGTGCCTTTCCTTCTGAAGTAAGTCTCAGTCCATCATTAAACCCATTGAGGCGTAGATCCACTAACCACTCATGAACATGGTTTGTATGATGAATGCAAAGCTGACTGTCTTGGTGATTGAACGTCACTGTTGAGAACATGGGATGGGAGTAAAGACCTCCTGGATTCAAATCCTGACTGAAACCCGTGGATGCTGTGTGACTCTGAGCAAGTTACCTAATCTCCGTGTCTCTGTTTCCTCATGCATGACAGTAATACTGCATCTGGAAGGCTGCGAGAGGATTGCGAAGAATTCGGTGTATGTGAGCTGCTTAGAACAGAGCCCAGTACATCCTGAGTGAGATACGATGCAGTAACAAATGGGGTCGTTTTACTTTGCATCTCTGAAGAGTATTTTTTAGAAAGCAATAAAAATTACAAATGTGTTCCTTTTATTCATCTTTGGCCTGGAACACAAACGGCAGCAGCAAACGTGGTACAACAGGAAGACTCTCCTCCTGGAACTATTGGGTTCTAGTTCTGCCTCCAGGCTAACTAGCGTAACAATTTGATGTTCGAAGGCAAAGCCTGCTTTATCCTTTGGAGAGGGACAAGGCTTAGAGGAGAAAAGTACAAGATACTGTGAGTCTGTGACTCCACAGAACTAGAAATCATCAGCAGGAAGTGCTTGCTTTAGTTAGATACTCTTCGCTATTGTCTGGTGATCCCTCTAAAAGCCGATTATTACCTTTGCAGGCGTTATCACAAGTTACGGAGTATATCTGGATGGCGTATTAATTCAGAGCTCCTCAGAGCTCGGCTGCTACGCCCACGGGCTTGCTCTCGGGAGCCTACACTCCTTCAGAGTCCAGGCGTGCACGGCCAGAGGCTGCGCCGTGGGCCCCCTGGTGAGTACCTGGATTTGCACCCCAGCCCCTGTGAAGGATCACATGACCCTGAGTGTCCTGGAAGCAGTCAGTGCCTGTGACCCTCTCTCGGTACATCTATCCTTTCAAGCACCATGAGATCTTCTTTTAAGTTTTTCTTTTTAAAAAGGTCCATGTAAGAGTAACTATGGTTTTATATTCATCATAAATTTCAAGGTGGCACACAGGTCTAGGGAAGGACAGAATATACATTTTCTTGAAAGAAAGGTAAGCTGACTGGATTAACAGACACACATGAGATTTTGTCTAATTTAGCAACATTTGTAAGGGAGATATTTTTCTTCCTAATAATAGCTTAACAATTAAGTAAATTTATGATTAAAAAGTGAAAATTGAAATCCTGTAATTGGCACACTGTGGGAACCCTGCTCCCAAACGTGGAGGTTTACGAATTAAAATGCTGAGTTTACTTCATCTAAAAATAAAATATTTTTATTTCATCAATGTGATATAGTTTAAGAATAGTATTTAAAATTATATTAATATCAACTTTTGCCATCCACATTTCAGAAATCTATAATATACGTCTGTATTTCGTGAGCAGATAAAAGGTTGACAAAGTCATGCTTTTTATTTCTAATATAATTTTAAAAATCCAATTAATAGTGCATAGTAGTCATAGACTAGCATTACATTCTTGAGTCACAAAACAGCACATTATACTTTTGTGCATCTTTCTTCATTAATTAGATTTAGCTTCTTTTAGGGGAAACACTCATTAGTTTTAGTTTTTGGCAATGTCTGCTAATTCCCTATCATTTTAATGCACTCTGTCTTCATTGAGTGTATTATATAAATATTACCTTGAAAAACAGCTCTGTGGCTTAATTTCTGCTTCTGTATTTTTGATCACACCTCTCATCTCATTTAGGAGATTGGTTGCTTTCCAAGCAGCTAACAGCATCTATCGGTGGAGCTGAGCCACTGTCTTTATGGCCATTCAGCCTTTTATAGCCAGAGCTCTGATGGATTCTCACCCTTAAAAGCAGGAATGGCAACAGGCCAGCCGCACTTCTCCATTCAAAAGAAAAAGACACAAAGAACACTTTCCATGAGCTCGAAACCTACACTTTTTCAAAATACAAACCGCACGGTGTGGTTCTGATTACTAACCTGCCTCCGCCTCATCTCTTGACATCCTGGCAACTTTAAACAAGGGGACACAGTTATGGGTCCATGACCCACACAAATAGTAGGTGACGTTAACCTCAAGAGTCAAATGCCACAGTGCTCAGCTGGGAAGGGGAAAATTGGGATGTTAAAACCTACTCTGTCCCAGCCTCCTGGGCCACATCCATTCTAGACTCAGTCCTGACTTACAGCTTAGGGGTGATTTTCTCCCCTGTGGACTCCTCTTTCTCCCATGCTCAGTATGCAAATGCTTTTCCCCTGTCAATGAGCCATCCCTGATCGCTGGGATTGAACAGTGTCTTCATTTAAAACAAGTCAGCTATGTGCTGCCAAGAAGTTAAAACCCACGGTCTTCAATTGGTTTCTGGAATATTTTGTGCCAATTACAGTACATGCTATGCCCTTAAAAAATTTTTATATCTGAGTACTTTACACGGTCCTGGGTGTCTACCACAGTCACAAAGGATATTGCAGGTTTGGCTCCATTTTTTGATGATCCTTTTTAATATGCCCTTAATGATTTAAGAAATCTGTGCATCAATCCTTAGAGTCAGATTTTCCTGCTATTAAATTGAAATGTGATATGCAAAAAGATTTAGCCAAATCTAGCAATGGGATATGCACATCCCTTAAAGATATGCTTTCTTTGAAGCCCAGTGTCACCTCTTTTTAAATGAAAGGTTTCACTGACCTCTATGTGTTATCATTTCTATTCTTAAATTCTTTGCTGGTAAAAATCAAAGTATGAATTTTTGAAAATCTTATTTTTGTTCACTCAACAACATCCTTTCATGATTTTTTTTTTTTTTTTGCTTTTTAGAGAGAAGCCTAATTGTTGTAAACTTTCTACATAATTAATCCATTGTTATCCATACATGGAGGAAAATACTTTTTGCTGTTTTCTATGACAAATGTACTGCAGAGTCTCAAATGTGGTATGGTTCACCCTTAAAATTGGCAAGGTGCTCATAATAGGAAAAACAGTGAAAGGGGAAAAATTTTATTAAGCAATATTGTAAAAAATGTAAGTGCACACATAAAGCCTACATTCTTACCATATCAGTGCTATTATTGGCTCAGTAGATTTTGTTTTCCCAGGCTGACCGAAGTTGGCTGTTTCTGGTGCCCACCGAGGGCTTGTTTCTCTGCACCTCTCTGATTCTCCCGTAGTGTCTTCGGCCCTTGTCCACTGAACAATGCATTTGACTCTTGAAGAAACACTTGTGTAAGAACAGTTCATTGCCTTAGACCCTAATTTAAAGAGGCTAATAAGCATTGTCAAATGAAATACATTATTGGGATTTTATAAACATTTGAAGCAATGAAAAAACTGACATAGATCATAGTAGCAAAAAACTTTTGAAAGACTTCCCTTGCTTTCAGTTACATCAGTGAGAAGCTTTCCACATTTCGTGTTTCCTTAGGAATGTCACTGTGTCCCAGTGGCCGAGTCTGAGGCTGAGGATTTTCTGGCTGGGTCTCACCGGGAAACCCTCACTGGATCCGTTCTCCAGGCTCATCTCAAGGATGATGTGGAAAACTACAGGTCACTGCTGTGTGCTATGCTTTAAAACCTACCTTGGTTTCTTGGTGATAACATGTTATACACCTACACACACCACACACACACACACACACACACACACGCACACACTCACACACACACACACGTCCTTTATACTTTCATGGACTTTTATTTTCTTTGCAATGTAGCAAATCAATCTGTTATTTAAGACATCTAAATCTTAATGGCCGTTTATGTTATGGCCAAGAAAATCCCATGTGAAAAGCTGCCCTAACTCTGATTTTCCCCTGGACTCCCTGGAGAAACAGACTTCTTTTCCTGAGCCTCTCACTTTTGCCAATGCAGACCTTGGAAAGGGTGTGAGTGAAAAATTAAATGAAATCATATTTATACGTGAATTTGTGATACATTGTAAGAGATTTATGAAGGGTGAAAATCTTATTCGAGTGTTTATATGTTTGTTCTCTAGCATGTTCTTTGTCAAAAGAGGTTTCCAGATCAAAGAGAAGCCAACATTTACCTTCCCCAGTATCTTTTCCTTTAAGATTACCTTTAAGGCAAAATGTAGAAATAAAAAGGTAAAAAAACCAGTCTCAGTCAGAGCAAAATAGCACAAAGGCTAAATTTAATGTAGATTAAAAGCTGTAGTATTTATCCAGATACTTAAGGAAATTAAAAAAATATTTATTTTGAATTAGCCAGGTATTTGAGGATAATCATATAATTACCTAGAATTGCCCTTAATCAACTTTTTGAGTCTCATTTTATTTGGAATCTTTTAAAATAGTTTTCTATACAATACTTTGAACTGTGCACATAGACATAATGAAACTAACTGCATTATTATGAAATATTAAAATGATGAATGGCTATTTTTCAAACCTAGTTTCTTTTATCATTTTTTGTACATAGCTATTAAACTAAAAAATTGAGTAGGAATTAAAGATCTAAAGAACCCTGTAGCCTTTCTTTGATTAAAATAAAACATCTTGTGACCTCATACTTATTAAAAATTAACACTCTGTCTTTTCCACATTTATTTTCATAATTGGGAAAGCGTATTCACCTTAACAAATAAAACCCTCATAATTGAGAATATTTGCCTGCCTAAGGATTTCGTGTTTGATCATCTTCTTTTAAGGTCTGAGACTGCTTGTACTTTAAGCATAAGGTCAAAATTGCGAATATATTCAATAGGTTGTAAGATGTCAAATATTTATGTGATGCTTAGGAATTCATGGTGATCAGTTACCAAGTTTAACCGAGTGATAAAACGATAATAAACAATCTAGACTGCTTTTCTTTCTTTTTTCTTTTTTCTTTTTTGTACCGGGGATTGAACTCGGGTCCTTGCGCTTGCATAGCAGGCATCAAAACCACTGACCTAAATCCCCGGCCCTAGACTGCTTTTCTAACCTCATGCTGGTTTAATCTTCTGGCCCCTTAGGCACTTTACTTACTTAGCTATTGAAATCATTCCGACCCCTGTGCAATTTAGGATTACTTTTAATTTTAGAGCCATTCTCTTGCAGCAATTCACCTTTCCCTTACACCTTAGGGATACAGCCTCTCGGGTGTGTTTGTTTCTTAACATCAGTATGATACCGTCTCTATATACCTAATAGCAACACAGCTAAAAAAAAATAAAAAGCAGGCTGTGAATCAGGATACTTGGTTTGGCTTTTTCACAAAAGCCAAAAATCTGTCCCTTCCATCAGGAACTTATGAAAACAGACTATATCCATTTCTTCTCTTTTGCAATCACATGGAAATTATTTTAAAGTGATCCTAAAAATAGTCCATGGTTATGCATAGCCATAGGCACAATCCCAGTGTGAGCTGATCCACATTTTCTGGAAATCACAAGCAACTGCCTTGGTCAGGAGCTCCAATTCTGAGCTTTAACAGCAGGAGGAAGAAAACACGAGGTGTGCTTTGATCCTGCTGACAAAATGAGGTATTCAGACAAGATGCTACTGTCAAAATAGTTTACTTCACAGCAAAAGGAGATTCTTTGAAGAAATATGCTCAAAGCAAAGCATGTACTTATTTTATTTGCAAACAAAAATAAATCGTTTATACTCACAGGTGGAAAATCGAACTCTGGAAGCTCCTCCTGAAGGAACAGTAAATGCGTTTGTCAGAACAGAGGGGTCCCGGGAAGTCCGTGTGACATGGGGCGCACCGCTGTACCCCAATGGACACTTAACGTACTCCGTCCTTGTTACTGGGATCTTCTATGCAGACCAAGGTAATTTGCATGCAATTTTAAAACATTAACATTAGAAAATAATTTATTTTCACGTGAAATCTTTTAGCTGCAGATTTAAATTTCTTTATTTTCTCTAAAAATCCCCTTTCCTGTTGAGTGAGGACCGCCCTTCTCGGTGGTCAGTCCCCAGTGCAGTGGCAGACGTCGCAGCTGAGGGACTCCAGGCCATGGTCTACTGGGTCAGAACCGCAGCCCTTCCAGTTGTTCTGATGAACTTGAGTTTGAGGAAGAGGCGATCTGGGGTAATGAAGTCGGCCTTTATCTACAGATTCACTTTCTGCCTTTTCCGTTACCAGAGTACCACCACAGCCCAAAATTACTAAGAGAAAAATTCCAGAGCAAGAGAGAGACTAGGTCCACATTATTTTTACTGCAGTATATTGTTATGATTGTGCTATTTTCCTATTACTTATTGTTGTTACTCTCTTCCTGGGCCTAATTTATAAATTGAAATTTATCATAGGTCTGTAAGTGGAGGAAAAACTAGTTTCAGACACACTTGGGGAGTCTTTGAATGTATCCTGTGCAGGTAATGGGAGACTGCTGCATATTTTCCTTCCCTTGCTTAAAAAGTAATACAAACTTAAATACTATTCCTGCACAGAGTTGAGCTGTTGAGCTCTAGTTTTGCACCCCATCTTAAATAAGCTAATTTGTGAAGCCATTTTAGTGTCTCTAAACTAAATTGACAATTCTGGTGTGTGCTCTAATAAATTGACTTCATGTGGATAATGCATGTTTAGACATGGGGTTCCTTGAAAGAACTGTCGAAAGGAACCTGATTCAATGAGTTGGGTGCTATGATAATATGGTGTTTACCTAAAGAATTCCCTACCACACAAAACGCAAGCATATGGATCAGCACACACCTTTCATTTCTATTAAGTGTTTTCTTTCATCACTTTCCCAAAGTGGTTATACTATTTATAGAGATGATGCTTTCAATAATTTTTAACTTTATGAAGTTTATTAGTGCATCTGTGTAGTACATAATGTTTACCTTCCTCATATGGCGTCGGTACCTGTACAGAATACATCTCGATTCCTTTTTCATCCCCTCCCCTTTCCTCCCTTCCCCCTCCACCAATCTCAGTATTCCCTTCCCTTTTTTGTGCATTTTGCAGTACATAGCGATCACACTCCTTGTGTGAAGTTGGCCCATTTACTACATCTAGTAGTAAACACTCAATATCATGGACAATACTCGCCCATGCTCTTAAGGAGAAGGTAATGTTCCTCAGGTTTGAAACGTTTCTTTATGCATTGTCCATTACCATTTGTAAGGTTACCATCCTCGAAGTGTAAAAATGGAAGAGAAAAAAGAAAACAGAGCTTTGGGAACTTAAGGGGAGCATGCATATTTGCGTACTATGTCAACAAGCAAATATATAGCGAAAGGAACAGTCAGAGCCTGAGCTGCCCCTCTCAAAGATTGGTGTGTCCCTTTTTTATGCAATCAGAGCTTTGATGTATTCCGCTGTGAAGCACTTGTGAGATTATGAGGTGAAGGAGTAATGATCGATTTGAAAAAAGAAGCAACCTTTAGGCCGGACCCATGACAGCCCAGCTATTTCCGCTAAGGCAGCTGGGTGAATAATGCAAGAGCCATATTCCCCCTTGTGTTTAATCTTGCATTGTTTCTGCAGAGAAAATTTCTGCTTGCCTTCTAAGTCATGTCATCTTCGGTTGTCATCCCGTCTCTCAAACCATCAAAACGGTATTAAATGTTGCAAAGCTGCGCAGCAAGAGAACTTTCAAAAGTCAGAACCCATTTGCCGAGGAGCCCTTGTAGAAAATGTATTCTGTTCTCGGCAGAATTTTCCTTCAGTTCTTTCCACTGAGAAGTTTACTGATTTCTCCCAGTGGAATCTGCTGGAATTTATCGGTTCATGGTTGGCAGTCACAGATTAAGGTAAATGTCGATCCGTAATGACCCTCTACATGTTAGTATTGCAGTAAAGCTGGGCTTTTATGTCAAAGATATCGGAGAGGGAGCTATTACACATGACAGGGGTGATCAAGGGACTGCAGACCAAGGCAAGCATTATTAAATATTGACTAGTTCTGTGATTTATGTAGAGCTGGAGGAAAAAAGTGACTTTTTAACCATTATATATTCTTCAGCAACGAAAACCAGCCATTTATCTCCTGCTGGTAATAAAGAACAGAGTGCCTGCATATTTTAATGGAGGCAAAACCTGGTCTTATAAATGAGATGAACTCCTTCGTGATAACATTTCAGTTTGTTAATTGCCAAAAGCAAAACAGACAAATTGGAAGCAATTATGAGATTTGACTTAAAGAGTTTGCCGTGTGCCATGTTCAACTCCGGGGTTGGAGGGGCTGAAGCGGGAAGCGGAAGGAACATCTTGGAATGGGCTCCAGGAAGTCCACTCCTCCCGTCACTGTCACCAGAAGTCGCATGTGCACTGTTAAGTGAAAGGGTTTCGAGTACTGTCTGGTTCTGTCTACCTCAGCAGCTGGGCGACATGTACACCAAGTGTGGGCAGGTCTGCTTGGCTCTACAAGAAACGAATTAAACATTAATTCATGGAACTTATTTAAGATATCATCTGCTCACTAGATTTATACAAAGCTCATTGAATTGTCGAATGGCTAATTGGATATTTCCTTGACATAATGAACAACTGTGTTTCATCCTTTCCTGTGATGGCTGCTGAAGAGGTGGTGGTTGGAATTTATAGGAGAGAGAAACTCGGCTGGGAGGAGGCAAGCTTAACTCAAAGCAAATGTGGCGGCAGCCCAGCCACATTTCTGCAGGGCAGGATGTGGGGCTGTGTGCCAGATTCCCACCCAGGGAGTCCATGCAACGCGAATGGCATGGAAGACTGCCGCATCAGCACCTGGTTTCAGAACAAGTGAGGAACTCATATCAAAGTGTGATTCTGCTTCAGAGTTACTGACTTTTGACCAAGTATTATATTCCCATGAATCAAAATTCATAGATAGAACAAAATAAGGAGTTAAAAGTATTCAACCAGTTCAGGAATCTCAGAGGAAACTTGGGTGCTGAATTTCTATATCTTCCTAGGAAGCATAGACATAGATAGATAGATGAAACTGAATAGATATATTTCCTAATTAAATGTTGATAGTCTTTTTATTCACATTTATCTTTTGCACAAATGATACAAGCTGTTCAGGTGATTTTGTACCACATTCTTAACTCAGTAATTTCAGAGGCATTGTAATATCAGTTCCTAAAGAACTTCCTCATTCTTTATATGGTGTCACAGTATTCAGTCATATAACTTACAGAGTCATTAGTTTAATCACTTCCCATTAATGAACATTAAAGTTTGCTATGTCAAAGCATACCTTAATGAATAAATATATAGGTGTGCCATTTCACACTTTTGCAAGTACACTTTTGCAAGCATGATAAATGCCTTAAAATGTACTTCTAGGTCAAAGGAAATGTGACTTTGTAACTTTGTAAGACATCACCAAACTTCATTCTGCAGAGGCCATGCGTGTGGTTCTCATTCGGAAGAGCAAGAAGGTCTGGATCTCAGGGGTCCAGTTCTACAGCCGTGCAGGGATGTTGGCAAACTTGTCTCTGCCAACTTGACATGCTAAAGATAGGGTCCCACAGTGTCCTGAGTATGCATTCTTGCAGTTAGTGTGTACACATTTTCATATGGTTGAAATCTACATGCAGTTCTTTTTCTGTGAACTCTTTATTTGCCTATTTTTCTTTTTTTGGTGTGCTGTAAGAGCTCCTTACAGATTAGAAAAATCTGAAATATTAGTAGCAAATTTTCCCTTTGTTAATTGTTTTTTCTAGCACTATAATGCATTCTAAAAACATTTTATCAATCCATTTAAAATTTATATTTATATATTATAGAATGTCTGGGTCAATTTTATTTCTTCCCAGAATATATCCCATTGTTTCAAAAGCATGTATAAAATGGTCTATATTGTTTCCCATTGGTTTAAAAAGATACAAAATTTCCAACTTTATCTATATGCCTGTATAGCTCTTTACCTTTATTTAAATTATCATAGCATTTTAATTATTAGAGGTATAATCCCTGTTAGGGATTTTAATCCCTTTTAGGTCTTGTCTCATTATTTATTTTATCTAATTTTCCTACTTATTCTCCCTTATTTTCTTTCAAATAATGTTTATAGATTCCCTCCAGAAATCCTCATTCTATTTTTATAAGCACAGAACAGTTTTATGGATAATTTAGATAGAATAATTAGATAATTTAGGTGGAATTAATATCTTTATGATGTTGGGTTTTCTAATCAATAACATGATTATTCTTTCTATTTATCTTCTGCAGCTCTCTCAAGAGCTCAAAGCATTCTTCATATAGATCTTGAGCATTTTTGTAAAGTTTATTTATTGACACTTTATATTCCTATGTAATTATAAATTATTAAACATGCATCTATATAATTAGTATTAATAATTAACTGAAAAGAGCTCCTCTAAAAATATACATAGACTTTGCTCTCAGATACTCATCTTTAGAAAACCACACTTCCAAATGTTTATTCCAGATGTCTACTGGGTGATTTTCCCTTCGACCTGCTGCAGTCACGCATGATCATTTTGTTACTAGATATATTTTCTTCTTCCTCAAAGCACAAAAATTTTACCAGGTAGAAAATAATAACCTGATTACTTAGATTGTCTGCTAGTTTTTAATAAAACAAATCTGAAGTTTGGAACCAAGGGAGCTCAACCCTCTTAGAATTTGGAAACAGAGAAGACAAGACAGATGACCCAGCCAAGTCACCATGCATATGTGCTTGAGGCCACACAGAAACCAGGTGTGGCTGTGACAGGTGAAACAGATGTAATCGGGAGAGACTTGGGGTCTTCTTCTTTGTTTTAATTACGAATTACAATAATTTGAGTTCTTAAACCTAGTGAGAGAACAAACACACATAGTATGAATGACAGAAATGAACAGATCCACCAACCAGCCGTGGATGGATGA